TATGTATGTTTAGGGACCCTACTGAATTACATGTGTAAATGCTTTCATTATTTACTCTCTTATTCATCAACCCTGGTACATAGGTTTTCAAGTGGGTTGATAACGAGTAAAAAGAGATATCGAACTGCTGATTATTTGGATGGAGTGTTCAAGTGAAGAGGTGGTTGGGTAGCCTAGTGGTTGCAAGCTCTCGTCACGCCGAAGACCCGGGTTCAAATACCCACATGGGTACAATGTGTGAAGCCACCATTTCTGGTGTCCCCGCCGTGATATTGCTGGAATATTGCTAAAACGGCGTAAAACCAAACTCAGTCAGTCAAGTAAAAGGACAGGTTAATGTACATTATTTGATAAACATTAAATACTGCCATGCTTAAATCCGGGGTTCACTTTGCCAACTTGGGTACAGTGTATTAAGCCTATTTCTGGTGTCCTCCATGATATCGGTGGCATATTGCTAAAAGTGGCGTAATAACATACTAAAGCACTCATAGAGAGTCGTATGTTTCATGGGACTGACACAACATAGTAAAACTACAAAACTTGTAAGACCAAAGGGATTTGGGTGGTCAGGCTCGCTGACTTGGTTGACACATGTCATCATATCCCAGCTGTGTAGATTGATTGTCGTGCTGTTGATCACAGGATTGTCTGATCAAACTCGATTATTTACAGACCGCCGCCATATAGCATGAATATTGCTGGAGTTGCGGCGTAAAACTAAACTCACTCACTCACCACTTTGTCAGCTGCAGATGTATGGGATACCGAAGTCGATATGATTTAAACATATTTGTTTTCAAAAAATAAATAGGGACTGGTGAACAAGCTGTTACAGCTTATGTTAACACCGCTCTCATACAACATATTGTACAATACAAACTGTAAGGTCAGAACATAACATACATTATCATACAAGTTAACAATTGCATAGTACACAGAAAAAAGAAGTATGGTGACAACCAATACATGTGTTGTGCATTTGTATTTTTATAGAAATCAATCAAATGAACTCAGTGTATAATTAATTTGTCATCTACAGTTGGGTGAGTCTGGAGACTAAATGCAATAAAGGATGATGAGCATATTAATTGGTGATATGTTTTGAATAAACATTCAAGTTACGTTTTTATTAAAGGTTTTGAAACGTTACGATTTTGTGATAAAATTCGGATTGATTTCCGAATTGTCACGTTTTCAAAAGTACTCAAATATCCGTTTTATTTCATCATGGTTTAAAATATAATAATAAACAATACACGTGTTTCTTATCTACATATACTTCATACACGTGAGGAAATGTGTAATTATGTGGATATTGACGAAAAAATTCCTCAAACAAGGTAAGTTTTTACCTACTGTTTTAATATTGTAACATTTGTCGGTTACAATTTTCAATATTTGCATTTGGTTTTCATTCATTTCTTGTAGTATTGACCAGAGTCATATTGTACTTCATTATCGATTTGGGAGCTTCTCAATGTATGCGAGACAGACAACACTAAGTCGTTTGTTTTCACAAAGCCATTTCTGTTGTACAGACGTGTAAAACATGATTCAATTTGGCAATTTATAAAGTGTCCTTTATGTTTCAGTCACTTTACAGATTAATCGAAACGTCTGCCCCTATATTTAACAGGCTGACATTCTTTAAGGATGGTCCCAACTGATTTAAACATCACAATAGATGTTTTACGCGCTGCATGGCTGCACATGAAATATATGTCAAACCATTATAGTTCTACCAGTTGATGTTACAAGTCTAAGTAGTGTTAAGGAAATTCGCAGAATACCAAGCAAGCGACTTATTAAATATCATCAGGCATTTCTGTTTATGCGAGGTTAAAACAAGCCTACTTGTTCCTGTTAATTCTAAGACGTAACTATATTTTCAGTGTTGTTGATACGGCCAATGCTTTCAAGTGCGCTTATAAAGGTTGGCGCAGCACAGATCTTGAAACTGACTAGGTTTCTGTGACATCATCGGGTATGCGCGGGTAAAATACAAATATGTTATTGTTACATCAAACTTGATATCACTCGATCGTCAGTTTGATTCAGACCCATATTACAAAAATTCAACTTATTTATTAACTGTGAACCAAATGGTCGACTCCTTATATTGCATTTGGGCGGTTTAGTTCACAAGTAATGTATCCTAGCTCTACACTGACTATACTACATAAAAATATTTTTTTTTATATCCTGGGTGGGTTTTGTTTTGTTCGTTTTGTTTTTGTTATTTCCGTCATTATGACGTCATTATCTAAATGACGTCACGTCACGATGGGTTTTATAATCTCCTACGATTGAGACGATCAGCTGAGACCCGCCATGTATCCTATAGGTATATCCACTTATCTTACCTTATATGGAATTAATTTCAGTTTTATTGCTCAATGGCGCTTTTACAGATTTGGATAAAATACATCCGGGTTGTCATGGTAATAGATATTTTGTCGATCTCCTTACAGCGAAACGGCGTCGCTTAGTGTATATTAACACTGACTGTTGGTGTTCGTGATGCACACCGGGGTTTCCGTATTTAAGCCCTGGGCTTATTACCGGAAAATGGCCCTTCTCGTTCACAAATAAAAATCCCATAATTAAGCCCAGGGCTTAAATTTGGGAAATGCTTGTAACTGAAGAAAACTATTCTAAGACACGATAAAATGGAATGAACTTTAATATAAACGGAATACAGAAACCTGGGCCCCGTTCCTCAAAACGATCGTAGCGCTACGACTGTCGTAAGTCTATGTTAAAGTATGGGAGTTACGATCACCTTAGCGCTACGATCGCTTTGAGGAACAGGACCCTGAACCTTAGACAATCGTTAAAGAACTGTCATAAAACTGAACTTGAATGACGCCCCCTCTATTGATGAAATATTTACATACTTTACTGTTCTTTGGGAACGTATATGTTATTATCATATTTTATTGTGACTGCGTGTGAGTCATATGGATTGAGATTGTCTATATGGGTATAGAGTACCTGACCTCTCTTGGGGCTCCAAAACGTTATGTAAACATGAAAACCTCTATTCATGCAGTAACTGCATCACAAACGTGCACTACAAACGTGATATATGCTGAAGTTTGCCATGTGCTTTTACAAAGGGGCGTCACTCTAAACAATAACATTTGAAATTTTAATTTAGGCCCATGGGCTTAATAACGGGAAACTATCCCCGTTTTTAAGCCCATGGGCGTAATTACGAGTGGGCTTAAATACGGGAAATCCCGGTAGATCATTGACATTATCGTGCTGGGCTCAGTTGGCAATATGAAGAAAAATGCTGCTATCTCATAACAATAGTCTTAACATAATACCAATGATTGGTGGATGGTCAGGCTGAAAACCCGACTTCGATTCTCCTCAAGGATACAAAGGGTCTACTCCCATTTGTGAGAACTCCCAGTTGTGAGACTCCCAGTTATGAGACAGTGGAGTCGGCAATTAACAACGAAAACACACCATACTCCCCTGTCTGATAGAATGGATTCACCCTAGCTAATTACTGATTTGCTATGTAACTGAATCTTGTGGAAGTAACTTAATGAAACTTTATAAGATAAATTGATTAACATACTCAGGTAAATGTCTTTAATAATTAAACACTTTGTGTAGGTAACTTCGTGATCAAAGAGAAATTAATTTACCTACTCAGATTTACTTCGTCTCCGAAACTACAAGCTATAGTTTAAGAAATAACTCTGAAATAACTCTGAAATTTACAGTCGAAATGCCCCTTATGCCAAACCCTTTCTACCCGACACAATAAATTTATGGAATGCCCTACCAAATTCCAAAGAGTCATGCAGTCTCAAAGAATTTAAAAAACCTAATTAGAAAAACCGAAAACAAGATTTATATTGATCTTAATTATGGCTCCTGTTTTTGTCAAATCTTTCACTGCCGCCTCAGGCTCGGATCTAGCGACCTAAAGTATAACAGACATTAAATAAACAGTGCATGTTGCTCTTGTGGATATCAACTACCCGTTATAACCTGGATATTTTTTTTGAACGGAAACAAAGAATTTACTCCTTGTGTAAACCAGAATATAATTGAATCCGTCCACGATTATATCAACAAGACACAACGCTTCAAATTTTCACAGGGAAATAGTGAAATTAACTCAACAACCTTCTCGTGATTGATTTATATTCCTACAATAGCTTGTTAGACACACACAACTGTAAGTCTCTAATTATGACTACTTAGAGAATAGCTGTATCTGCTGTAATCCGTATATATTTATATGTACTTAAAAATATATTTATGCAATAGTCAATATCGATGACGTCACATCCTCCATTTCATTTTATATTTTATGTTGCATGGGAGCGGTGTTAACAAAAGCAGTAATACTTCACCAATCCCAGTTCATTTTCATAAATAATAATAAAATATGTTTAAACCAAAATGACTTTCAAACTTCATAATAGGCAATACAAATGTTATCGTAATTACATATTCTTCTGAATAAATAAAATATTCAATGAAC